AGAGCTCCTGACCAAACCTTGCTTTTTTTTTTTTTTTTTTTTTTTTTCAATTCTAAACGATGCACACAGCCATCTGGCATTTGTTGTTCTCCAGCTACCTGTGCTCGGTTCACAGCAACCCCCAGGGCTTTGCTGAATAGTCCACGTTGCAGAGAGCAGTGCCTTTGGTCTTGAGATTGCCAAGCAAATCCACCGAGTCTTCCTCTTCCAGACTGTGAGACAACCAGGCTCGAGCCTGATTCTGCATGGTGGGGTTTAGGGGTGCACCACCCATCTCCCCCAAAGCCCTTTCCATGTGGCAGTGGTGCTTAACCAAAAAAAAAAAAAAAAAATCCCTGTTTTTTCCCCCAAACTGCCTGATGGTGTCCCACATCCCAGGGTGAGGTGATTTCTCCTGTTACTTCTTTGTTATTTGGGAGGGATGGGGACGGTTCATCTGAATTCCGTCAGGTTTTAACAGCTCTAACGCATATTTGTCCGTTGTAGCACTGGGCTGAATTTGTCCATTGCAGCACTGGGCTGAAGCCTTCACGGTGTTCTGCTCTGGAGGTCCTTGAGGAATATGTAGATCCACTTGAAACTGGGTGGAGACAGGAGGGACATGCTCTGCCTGCATCACAGCTCCAGTTTCAAGGAGCACTGAGACTAGCCTATATACAAAAACATTCACTTTTGAGCGAATCAGCCCTGTCCAAGAAAGTAGACAGAGCTGGGGAAAAAAAAAAAAAAAGATGAGCTCCCTTGTGATTGTGTAGAAGTCATACATGATACACTGAGATCTGAAGAGCTGAAATGCTGTTTAAAGGACTGGCTAGGACACAGTTTCTCTCTTTCTTTTGCATGTGTCCGCTTAGACTAGGTGCTGTTCGGTGGAGAGACCATGTGCTGAGTGTTCAGGAACGGGGAGATGCTCTCAGTTGGGGTGTCCAGGGCTGCTGCAGTACAAATAGCATCAGTGAGGGCCTGGTGAGCGGGGAGCAGCAGTGCACCAGCAGCTTTCCGTGGCCAGAAGCAACCTCACGGTGCTGCAAGGGGAGACGTCACATTCAGAGCGTTTTTATCCTGACACCCAGTAAATTTGGAGCTCGACCCCACGCTATGATTCAGGAGGAGCTGCTGACTTTGCACTGCTCGTTTCTTCACAATGTGACCACCCGGGGCCATGCTGATGGAGTGGTATTTTTGTCCTAACTAAACATCCAGGTGATGGGAATCAGTGTCTTCACCTCCTTCCACAGCCAAGGGAGAGGGACAAGTTCCTCCGAGGGTGACTTAGCCTGCTTCAAGTTAGCTGCTGGCTTTGAATTGCAAATAGTGCTAGAGATAGTGAGCGCCTCGGGGAGCCTTGGAAAATGCCAATAGTAATGTTACTGCCTTCTGGGAGTGCAAAGCTCTGTGGTGGGTTATTTGGGGTGACCTTTGTGGGGCTTGCATGCACATATTCCCTTGATTTGAGGCGTAGTGTGTCTCAGAGTCAGCCTTCAGTACTGAGTATTTCCGAAGGCCATTGGGAACCAGCAAATGCCGGGATGCCCTATCAAAACTAAAGAGAAAAAACAAACAAACAAACAAAAAAAACCCCACAAATTGGATTGAAGTTGCTCCAAACCCCAGAGGCACCAATATCCTCCATTGATCATTTGCTTATTGCATCTCAAGTCTTCTCACTGAAGTTTTTCTCGTCAATAAATGTGCCTGCTTTGCAAATCTTGGAGCCTTTGCAGCGCACGCAGCTCTGCATGTGGCAGGCACCTTTTCTGCCCCGTAAATAACATACGTCTCAAAGCTTGCTTGGCCACAGGCCAGGAGTGCTCGGCAGACGCCGGTGACAGTTTGGTGACAAAGTATTGCAAGGAGACAGGGAGAATGCAAATGACTTATTAAAATTAACTCAGCGTAATGCCTCAGCACTCAGCGTAGAGCCAAAGGGGGGACAGAGGGGAATGAGCCTTTATTTTGGGTGGTGGGAACTTAGCGTTGCTGAAGCACCTGCTTTTAGATGTGCATCCACAATAAACCAGCTGCGGGAGGGCAAGGCTACGGGTTGAGATTTTGGCTTTCAGCATGGCTCGACTTGTGGGTAGTGTCCAAGGTGTAGTGCTGGGGCCGGGTGGGAGGGGAAGAGGAATGGGCCCAGGTTTGGTTAAGTTGGGATGAGCTGTCTCGTGGAGAAAGGGAAAACCGGGAGTCCTGGTGTTGCCAGCTCTTCTGCAGTTGTGGGCATGTTGCTTTTTCCTCCCACTGAAGGACCCAAGGTGATGCCCATGTACATTCAGGTACTTAACCAAGGTGTTTAAGGTTAGAGCTGAGTTGTCCTCGAATCCAGCTGCTGTTAGTGTAGAGAGAGAGGGGAACCTTAGGAAGCCAATTCAGATGCGCCTTGGGACAATTTGGCCTCTAGAGATGCTTGTCTCCATACATGCCCCCCAACACGGTCTGATGTTATCCCAAAAAATATCCAGGGTCTGCCCCTGGAAACCCTCATGTTCTATCACAGCACCTGTATTTGCTTAAAAACATTTTAAAAAAAAATGTGGGTTTCAGGATTTAAAATAACTACTCGGTAGTGAGTCAGGAGTACACCCTAAAGTCTGCAAAATGGGATGGCAGATGAGAAGAACATGGGTTTGGGGTTTAAAACCCAGGTCTGTGTTTCAAGCCAGGTGCAGGACAGATGCCTTGGAAATAGGCAGACGGGATCTGCGTTAAAACCTCCTCCAGAATGGAAAAGGCGATTTTTTATTTCCGAGTTAGTCCCATTTTATATGCTGCTCTGAGGTCTGGCTCATATTCTTAGCACCTTTAATAAAAATTGGATTAATCCAGCAGCTTTTTCTCAGTCTTACAAGCTCAGTGTGCAGGGGGCTTTGGTCTGATGCCACACGGCTCATGAGACTGGTGAAAGGGAGGAGGAAGGTCATTTTGCAGTGGAAGAATAAGGCCTTAGTTATTAATGGCAAAGGCTGAAATTTTCTCTCTGAGCCTTAATTGATTTTAGTGAATTTAACTGGAGGAGGAGGCAGAAATTGGCTTAGAGTTATTAAGATGTAATACTTAAAGATATATTAAATCTATTGTAGAGAAATAAGGAGACAGCCTTGTCAGACATTTATTCTAGAGTGGCTTCTGCTAGATACAGGCAAAGAGAAAATGCCAGATTTCTAACTTTGACAAAGGGGACTTGAAAGACTCTGCAGAAAGGTTTGGAGAAACTGTGTTTGATAAAGTCCTCTCTGAAACATGATAGCAAAGGCCACTTTTATTTTTCTCCTCCTCCCTGGAGTCTAAAGGCAGGAGGGTGAGATAAGACATTCCACCACGTACACAAATGGGGGAAAAAAATGGAAAAGTTTAAATGATACTGCTGCAGCCTGCGGAAAATGGATAGCTCTCAGGGTGACTGTTAGATGCTGCTTATCAAGATACTGTATGCCTTGACTATGAGAAAAAGCAGAGTAGTTAAAACGATGCGCTGTGCTCCCCAGCACGGATCCAGTGAGCAGTGGTTATACGGGAATAACAAGTAAGCAAGGTCCTAAACATATATATATATAGTATATATTTAAATATATGTATACTAAATAAGCAATTCAAATTGTCCTTGTTGGACATTTCTAATTTATTAAGCGACAGAAGAAATGTTTAAAGCACAGGGAAGCAAGTTTTGTAGCAGGTGCTAGGCCAGGTAGTAAGGAGCATCCCTCAAACCAGGTTGCAACTGCGTGACTCCAAAACCAGTTATTCTCATTCATGCAGTTTTTCGGCGTTCTTCCCACTCCCTAGCTGGTGGTGACTTCATTTGGGTTTGGGGCCTCAACAAATAAAAATGACACATAAAGAAATAAAAATTTGTTCCCATGGGTTTCTCTTGGCGAAGTGGAGAAGGTTGCAACACGCAGTGAAGACATACAATGACCCCCTCTTGTTTTATTTTCATTTTTTTAAAAATTTTTTTCTTTTATTTTTTTTCTTTTATTATTATTTTTTTAATATTGATTTAGTTTTCAGATGGAGAAGTCCCCTGATCTGGTTTGACAGAATGCTGTGAAGCATTTGTGCTCTCCGCTGCTTCTTTCAAAGGGCACATGGGTTTATAACCAAATCGAAGCAGTGCCATAAGCCCACCAAAATTGCGTGTGGCGATGAAAAGCTGAGCAGCAATAACGCGTGTGCTGCAAATGGGACAAACCACCAATTGTTGTGGGGCTCCCAGTAAAGCCTGACCCAGCTGAGAGACAGCCGGGACAACACATAAGCAAAATGGGACATGGCATCGCATCAGCCGCAAGGCCAGCAAGTGAAAATCACACCCTTGACCCCATTTTTCAAGCGTGTAGGAGTTAATCTCAGCCCACCATCACCTCCACACTCACCCGAGCCTCGGGGTAATTCCCATGTCAAAAAAGCAATGAGAGATGCTGACCTCTTTGGCACAAGTGATAAATTTTCCTGTCCTGAACAGCCATGTGGAATATTGGGGAAAAGTAAGTTTTGAGCTTATTAGGACACCCTAGTATAGAAGATTATTTTGTTCCCTTCAAATTTTCTCAGACAGCTGAAAAAAGACCTCAAGACTCGCAGTCTGTGCAATTTTTGTAGGCTTTTAAGATAGTTCCTACCCATGAAGCGTACCAATAAATTCCCCATTAACTGCATTCATTTTTTTTTTTTTTTTTTTTTTTTCTCATTAAAGCCTCACAAAGGGTTCAAAACCTCATTTTATGGCAGGGCTGCTTTGATTTAAATTGATGTGGCTTAACTTACGAATTTTAGTCACGAGTTAAAATACAGAAGAAGACAGTCTTAATTTGAATGATTTTATTTTAATCATGTTTTTCATTTACAATTCATAGCTATATCCCTTAAGCAGGGCCGATTCTCCTCGCTTGCTCGTTGTAAAACTTGGGAGATTTACAGCCCACTCTTGCCTTTCAACTGTGTTTTCCAACCAGGTGGACACATTATGAACATATTTGTTTAAGCAGTTATATAGCCTGCCACTGCTCTATTTTGATTCCTAATTTATTTATCTGTTAAATCTTCCTAGGTAATAATGAATAATACTAATCTGGGGGTTATTGGTAGCAATCACTCTTTGCTTGTAGAGGAAATTTCTGTTAAACTGACAGATTCAAAACAGCATTTGAAATCCCTTTAAGATACATCAAGTAACCCAGGGCCTGGATACCTAACGCATCAACTTTTCAACATGCTTTTGAGTTTAATGCTAAGCAATTCATTGAGCAAATCTCAAGCATCAATCTTTGATGGAGCTGGTGACTGAAATGAATTGTTTTTGTGTCCCTGGAGGGTTTTGAATAAACAGGAGTCATTCTCTTAAAACTCACTTTTACTGTTTAAAATGGGAGAGGAAGCAATTTTGTTTTGCAGCTGCCAGTTTCCAGTTGTTTTCGCAGCTTAGAATTAACTAGTGATGGAGCAGCTGAATGTGTCTCTCCTTGATCTGCAGAGGAATTTCTAAATGGCTAGCTGAGGTTTATACGCATAACTTCTGACCGTCTAACTGAAGGCAGAAGAACCCCACGCTTAGTGCCTGGATACCCTGGATACCTGCCCATAGTGTGGGCAGATAGCGATTAAAGGGAAGAAAAACAACAATTAATGAGGTTTCCCTTAACTGGCTGCCCGGTTTTGGTCTCACATCCAAATCCAGTCCCATCTAGTGTTGGAAAATCACAATTCCCCAAATGCCATGGGTGTCCTGGTTGGGTTTAGTCCTGCTGCAATTGTTCGGTGCTAGACAATAAATTTTGGCCTTTCACAAATTAGGAGGGAATTTGGCCTTGATGGGTTGTGGCCTGTGGCAGTGCATACACGCTTTCCCAATGGGAGAAGACCAGCTTGGAGAAATCCTTCTTGTGTCCAGGAGAACAAGAGAGCCCGTCAGATCCTGATGTACCTCCATTCATGCACATTGCATGCCTGTCATGGGAGTCTGGGGAGGAGAGGAGTGATAAACTCAATTCTTCTTTCCAAAGTAAAATAATATTAACAGACAGTTCTGCAACACCTGGTGGAGCCTGGATACCCTCATCCAGCCTATTTAGGGTCATCTCCTTGCTGATCCAACATAAGAGCATTTTCTCCAACCAGCTTGACAAACAAAATGTTGCAGTTTAAGGCAACAATCACGGGAAAAAAAAAAAAAAAAAGGGGACACACACAAAAGGGACACACACACACACACACACACACACACAAAGATCTTGACAACTGACACATCCTTAGTGCAGCGTCTTGAGCTCCTCACCATAGGAGGCCCTTTTCAGAGGTATCTCCATTAGTCAGGGAGCTGCCAAGAGCAATCATTGCCACCAAAACGATTGCAGGTGCCACTCCCACCATCGTTTCTCTGCCCGTAGCCATTGGGGTAGCACCTCCATGGTGTGGACACATCTGCTTCTGCTACGACACATCAGTTAAGGCTGATAAAGTTGTCTGATGTGCTGCAGTTAGGCCCAGCTCAAGGATGCACTAACATCATTCAGATCCTGCAGCCCTCACGCTGTGTTTCATTAGGCCAAGTCCCTCTCCCGCAATGAGCAGTGTGTCCCATGATGGTCATGCTCCAGAGACGCTCTGCTGGTGAGTGGTTCTCAAAGTCTGGCCTATAATTTACTATAACTCACTGTTTTCTGTGAAGTTTTCCATCCGTGAGAAGTTCGATAGCAGATGAGGTGGTGTTAAGCAATTCCTCATGAGGGCAAGGATGGCCAATGCAACCACCCTGTGGGCTGCACACCCAGCACTGGCCACGTTTCCCTGTGTCAGTGTTCCTCCAAATCGTGGCTTCAGCTGCTGAGGGGGTGATTTAAGGCAGCCAAGTTGGGTAAAGAAAGCTGTTACTTGGGCAAAGAAAGTGTCACAACAAGAAGAAGGGCGGACTAGTGGGAGGGGGGGTGGTCAAAAGTGGGCGCATCAGGTTGCGTCGGCAGCAAGAGAAGTAGGGGACCTCATGGTCAACGTGTACTTTGTATTGTGCTTTATGAATGCCCTTTATGAAGGGTTAGGGAGGGAAACGCAGAAATCCAAACGGATGGGTTGATAAAGCAAAGAGATGGTTTTCTGCTTTAAAAAAAAAAAACAAAAAACAAAAAACAAAACCCAACGTATTTTTTGGGCTCCTATTGTGAAGTCTGGCCGTGAGTAGCTGACTGCTGTGCCTGGTAACATTTTGAGTGTTTTAAAGGGTTTTTTGTGGCACAGACAGCCTGCGAGGAAACGGGGCTCTCCTTCCCCTGATCACATTAGAAATGGAGATTACGGCGTCTCATCAGCATCTCTGATGGAAGCAAAGTGACTCTGTCCCCAGCCAGTGCAGAAGCTCCCGTCATTGCAGGACGGGGTGGGAACATCTGGATAAGCATCAGGGTGGGTGAGGAGCCCCAGCACGATGCTTACTGGGAAGAAAGTCAAGGAGGAACCGTGGAGAGCTGGTGCATTTTGATCAAGATCCAAAGCCAAGCTCTGGCTTTAGGGTTGCTGAGGACCCACTGCATATGACTCTCCGGATCCCAGCAATGCTCTCGCACAGAAAAACCTGAAAAAAAGCCCCCTGAAAATAAATTATCAGGAAACCACCAGAAGAAGAAGAAGAAGCTGTGTGTGCCTCACAGATTTGATGATAAATACTTGGGGGACGGCCATGCCAAAGGAATGCTGGCTATTTCGGGGCTGTATTTGTGTTTGAGCTGGTGGATGAAGGTTGCAGTTCTATGCTTTGTCTTCCGTGAGAGCATTTCGCGTGGCTGGCGGGACCACTCCAATCTGATTAGGAAGGGGCTTGCTCGGGGGGCCGACAGCAGCAGGGGTGTAAGCTGCTTTCCCCAGGAGCAGGCGCCGGGGGCTGCCCAGAGCCAGCGAACACAGCCCAGCTGGCCTTTTAGGGAGAGTTTCCTTATAATCCAGCTCAGAAGCAGTTTTGGGACTGGGGTTTATCTCTGTCTTGGCTGGGAAAATTGGTACCCTGAGGCGCTGGAAGAAGGGGAATGGTAATATGGATGGGTGAGTGGGACCAGCGCTAGGAAATCTCTATAGGTGAATTGGCTTTGAAGCTGGTTTTTGGAGAGCGCTTTTAGGGTTGCACTTTATTTATTTACTCACATCCTGAAGGCTGACGCTCATCGCAGCAGGGGGGCTTGGGGAAAGGAAGGGTAAGATAAGTGCAGCCTGCAAGGATTTTGGCTCAGTCTGAACAGAGGCACGCAACCCAGCGAGGGACAGGAGAGAGCAAGTGGGAATAAGGTTTTGCCTCCACCCAAATTTGACAAGAGCAGATGCTCACAGTCTGTCTCTGAAGTAGGTAAAAATATTCATGCTGCAGGAATTTATTTCACAGAGGCAGGGAAAGACCCTCAGATCTCTCAGCTCCTGTTTTAAGCAACAAGACTGCTCTTTGCTGGGATGGACAGATGTGTGTGAGGTGCCTGTAGGCAGATTTCCCATATTTCTCCCCCAAAAAAGTCAGGGAACGGCTTGTCATAGCAACTTGGTGCCACCTGCACCTCCTCGCAGGACTTCCCAAAGTCAAGAGTTGCAAATGGTCCCATCCTCCTCAATCTATGGCCGTTGCCATGAAACTACCAAGAATGGGGAAAGGAGGAGCCCTCTCATTGATAATATAGATTAGAAATAATGCATTTGTTTTGTAGTGATAAATATCGGGGTTTGGATCTGGTTGGATCGGGATTGAGCCAGCTTCCCCGGGCTGAGAGTCTGTGCGTGTGCACCGAACGTAACTCAGCTCCGTTGTAGGTGCAGTCAGCCCTCCACGCATCTGAGCTGTTTGCAAGATGGGGATTTTTCTCCACTTGCTTTTTTTCCAACACTGTTCGGCTCCTGTTTGGGAGAGCAGGTTTAAATCCTGCAGCAGCAAAGGACTTGGCCATCTGCTGCATCCGTGGTCTCAAAGTGCAATGCCTGGCTTCCAGCATGTGTGTCCTATTTATTCGGCTGCTGTGCTGTGCAGAAGCTCGCTGGGCGAAGGACCTGGTGCTGTTGTTTTGCATCATTCAAGCATTTCAGCCTCTAATCTGTGACACTGTGACCCACATAAAGAGGTCTGGGTACTGGTGATGGACAAGCAGAGATGCTCAAGTGCAAAGTGACCCCAGCTAACAGGGGCCAGGAGCACGCTTGCACCAGAGAGCACTGTCTGGGGTAGATAGGCTTGCTAGTTATTAATTATTTAAAGCAATAATATAACAATCGATTACTGAGAGTTATCAATAAGCACTGCTAAAAGTCACCATTTGCTTTTGATGTCTCAGCTCGTTCTTGCATTCATGGCCAGCAGGCTCAGGGCTTGATTTCTGAGAACTACCCTGACTGGAATGAAGAAGCGTTTTGCCCAAGATAGTAAAATTTCCAGAGACGTCTGGATGAGACTGGGCTCAGAGTGCCAGGAGGATCTTTTTGCAGATCTGATGGTGCCTCTCTGAATGTGGATTTGAAGTCTGTGGGGGGATTTTTCAGTTGTCCCTTCAGCCTGTCTATAATCAGGGATGATGGGTTTCTTGTCTCTTGTAAAGCAGGGAGGTTTTGCAGCACAGCCCTGCTTTGATTTGGCAGAGATCACTTGCAAACATGACAGTGCTGTTCACGTAGCTGCAGCCTTCAACAGTGTAGGGGGTGCATTTGCTCTCCTTCACCCTCCCCATACCTACTCCCCAGCTCCAGGTTTACAACCAGCAGAACCCACTGAGTCCCAGTTCAGTGCCTTCTCCCTCTCTCTGCTCTACTGATGGCTTTCTGCCGGTCCCATCACGGACCTGACCTGCAGTCCCTGCCCTCTCCTCCCATCTCCAACCCTAGGACTCCAGCTCAGTTTTCTAAATGAAATGTCCAAGCTGACATGTCCAAGTTTCACTGATGAGCCAAAAGCAGGATCTGGCCTTCACCATCCTGGGAGCAGAGTAATTTGGATATTATCATGAACCCAGCCGCATGTCCCCCTCCTGCACCCAGAGCTGCTGGTCACCTCACTGGGTCCCTTCCAAGGTGGGAGCCCAGCATGGGGTTTGCAGACTTGTCGGCCTCTCTTAAGAGAAAGAGGAGGATGATTAATGACAGGGAGGGGATGCAGCTCCTTCTTCCTTCCTGCTTCCTTTGCTCCCTTCCCTTGCCCTGCCATGGCCTGCCCTGCACTACAACCACAGGACCCTGCCTTGGAGAGAAGGGTTTTGGTGGTTAGGGAGATGTCAGTGAAGCCCTGAGCTCAAAAGGTGATACAGATGGGGGTCTTTTTCATCCAGGCCACCCCAGGTGTAAGTACTGCAAGCTTTCATTTCTACTAGACACCATTTTGAATTTTTCCTCCCTAACCAGTGAGTCTCTTCATGATCAAACTCACTACCTGGACCTACCTATCCAGGAAGGTTTTTGGGAGCAGAATATGACCCCTGCTGCATGCTATGTTTGTATTATATATTATACTTCTTACTGGAATTTCTCAGCACTCAACCATGCCATTAAAACCTAGCGCAGCCTGCTTGCACTGAGTGCAGAGCACTGCATCCCCGACCCGGCGACATCCCACAACTTCCCATGCTCTTCCACTCAGCTGTAACCACGCAGGAATCTCACTCCTTGCTGGGCTGCTGGGTGGACAACATTGTTCCCCTGTTGAGTCATAACAATGAGGTCACTGGCCTGGAAGGACAATGTCATTCAGCAGCCAAGAACCCAGCTGGCTGATCCCGGTTGTGTCTCATCTCCTATGACAAAGCCACATTTAATTGACTAATTAAAGCCGTTGCAGGCTCCATCTTGGAAAGGGTGACCAAAATGCGCATTGTTCTTCATCAGCATCGTCAGACCAGTTGGTCAACTCATAAGTTTCTTCCTTCTCCACCTTGCTACTTCTTGTGTAGACCTAAATTCCTGGTCCCGGCAATGGAAAAACCTCCTCAGAGATGTGCCACCGTGTGTTTCAGAGCAAGATAACTGTTTGAACAGGGACCCAAGGACTTCAAGAAAGCCCACCCAAAGTCCACTCTGCTCTAACACCACCCAACTCAAACCACTTCGGGATGGCCTCTCTGTATTACCAACCCACCTTTTGTTGGACACTTGCTATTTTGGGTTCCCAGCTCCCATAGGGGTTTGATATTGAACCTAAACCTATGGCATTAGGGTGCTCCTATACCCTGTATACCCTACAAGGACAATTTGCCTGGCTCCCACACTCAGTGGATTGGCCAGCTTCAGCCCAGGACTGACTCTGGCATTTATGGGTCATTTTTCCCTTTAGGCACCATTTGGGTGGAGCAGACAGGTTGCCCGCAGTGTAGGCAGAAAGCAGGGGAATGTCCAAGTACTGACAAGCTGTGTGTCCACAGACAATTTCTCCTTCCCTCAACCGAGTGCTCAGGAAGTGTCGGGACCTTCACCACTCTCTGAATGAAGATGTTTTGAGCCCCGAGACCAGTGGGCACTTCTGCTCTCAACATTTCTTGCTTTTACTGCCATTCTGCATAAGACCATCCTGTAAATAGCGAATATGTGCCC